AAAAAAAAAAAAAAAAAAAAAAGGTCCAAATTTTGGCTTATGCGCATGCCCGTAATTGAAGTTTTGCTCAATTTTGTACCTTATCCTCAAAAAAACTCTCCTTTGAGTAAAAAAAAAGCTTTTTTAGCAAAACTTAGGCTTATTTAGCATCATGGTAGCTAAAAAAACCCGAGTAAACGGTTAAAAACGGTATTTTTTGACGAAAGTTTGGTATCCAAAGGGTTAAAACTGAAAAACGACATGATTCTGTTTATTTAGATTTCCAACCATTACTTAGCGTTTTAAGGTTTTGCATTTTCCATTAACAGGTACTTATTTGAGCGAAATTAAATTTGTACGTGTAAAAATAATTTTCGGTATGTCAAATATTGATATGCCAAAATGTGTAAAATCTAGCTTTCCTCCTCAAATCTCTTTGTGCCCAATTGCTGATTATAAATACTAGTTATGGAGCGCTCTCTCGTGGTATGCCATGGACTATCCCACGAGTCACTTGTATTTTTTGGTAAACACATGAGCCTTTGAGCGTCGCATAACTATTTTATACCATGCCATCACCATCGATGCGACATACGCGCGGGACACGATGGGAAGGTTGGGTGTGATACCGTCGAATATACGCCCTTCTGTATAGGAGAATCTTTGTTTACAATATTTGCCTCATTACCATAAGCGATACAGTTTCTGATGGAGCTACAAAGAGATAAATACTGAATATTGAAAGGGCACAAAACGATTAACTGTCCCAAGGAATTTGAGCGCGATGTATTGAATACTGCGACGCGGGTTTAAAAGCTCAAAATTTTACAAAGAATGTATCGGCTTAGCGCTTTTGCCACACAGAAATATTGATGTTTTTGAAAGCCAATTTCTCCTCGAATATTACACCCAAAGAGCCAAAACTTTCACCACTTACTAAGTTTCACAAGCTCTTTAAGTTTTTCTAGNAAAAGGTTCGGACTATAGGAAAATCTTTGTTTACAATATTTGCCTCATTACCATAAGCGATACAGTTTCTGATGGAGCTACAAAGAGATTAATACTGAATATTGAAAAGAGCACAGCACGATTAACTGTCCCAAGGAATTTGAGCGCGATGTGTTAAATACTTTTCGTGTGACGAGGGTTTAAAAGCTCAAAATTTTACAAAGAATGTATGAGCTCATTAGCGCTTTTGCCACACAGAAATTTTGATGTTTTTGAAACCCAATTTCTCCTCGAATATTACACCCAAAGAGCCAAAACTTTCACCACTTACTAAGTTTCACAAGCTCTTTAAGTTTTTCTAGTAAAATCGTGTCTAGCATGATGCCTTCTATGCACAAAGTCGTATGTTAATTAGGAAAAATGTAAACAATGACGTCAGCAAAGATTCGCCCGTTGAAATGTTTACCTCTTTACGCATTGTTTCTTTGTTTGCAACATATGAACACGTGAAAGTGTCTGGACCTTGAAATTCCTGTGTATATGGTCCTTTTGATCATCACTTCCAAACATACAAAAACTACATAAATATGAATGCTACTCCTTCTAACACGTTGGACATCATTTGACACTACTTGACCAACTCTGTGGCTAAAGTTTTTCATTCTTCTGTACGGGGCAAGCTGAGGCGTAATAAAACTGTAAACACGTTTTGGGGAGGAGCCTAAAGGATTTGTGCGTGGGAGACAAGTAATCTAAATAATACAATATATACGTGGAGGTGATTCTCATGCAAAGCACAAAAGGCAAATTATCACTCCTATTACCCCAATCTGAAACGCTTAATTTAACTTTCACGCAATAGAAATTTCTAAATATAATACATATAATGAACTAAACAAGATACTGTTAATAAACCCTAATCCTCAAAGTCAACAGTCTTAGGACAACAGAAATTTAAATCAAGCACAATGTTTTTTTAGTGATGAAACTTTCTCATTTTTCTTTGCCAATGAAAGTTTTCACCCGTAATTACCAATAACAAACTCTTTCTGTTGTATTTAATAGGGTCGTGAGCAGAGAGCAGAAAGCGGTCGGTTTAAAATAAGCTCATTTTCTTTCATGGAGTAGACAACTTTATTGGGAGAAAACGTGACCATTTGCCATGACTCAGTCTATTTAAATGTATTTTCCTTGACACGTTGTTCTGAGCTTTGTTTTTTTAAAAATAGCTTAATGGGGTGACCACATAAAGCGTTCGTTATTGTTTCTCTGTTCGAAATATACAAACGACATAAACGAACTATAAACCCATCTAGCCCTTAAAATTCATGTGGCTCTGTGGTCGAAAAATACAAGGGGTACATAAATATGAAAACTGGCCCTAACATAGCTTGGACATAATTTGACACTATTTGACCGCTACTTGATGACTGCATTTTTTTCATTCTTCTGTTAGGAGAACGGTCCCAAAATAAACTCGTATACACGTTTTTGAGACGGACGTGAGGAGCCCGAAGGACTTCCGAGTGGGCGGTTAATTATATAAAGCTGTGGACATTTTTTGCATTAATTTGAGGGAATAAAAGATTTCTCTACTATCAACTTGAATTTTGCAGAAAAATAAGAGAGCAGTAAAATTGGCCAAGGGAACACGTATCCACCACTGGGTTTCAGAACCGATCAAGTTCCATATCTTAGGGAAGGAGCCAGGGGATTAAAATACTTCCTAAGGGCCGAAAATGTTTTGGGCCCCGACTTAATTTAAGACCAGTGGAGCTGGAAAAATGTTGGGCCCCCATCTTGTGAAGAGGTTTGGAGCAATAGCTATGCGGATAGAAAAACAAAAAAAAAAAACAGAATCGGGTGTTTTCAGCTTCACACATCACCTTCTATCGCCTAACCGGATATCGTGTAACATTTTTTCTGATCGGCGGAATGTAATCTTGAAGCCAATTAACTCTTGTAGAACTTAAAACAAGTAAAGAACAAGTCTTCATCAGAGGGAAAACGATTTGAGGTCACTGGACGATAGAAAACATACCTCAGTATAACAAAAACCTTGAGCTTCAAAAGCAATTTGGGGCAAACAAATCTGTGATGCAAATTTAAATTGCAAATTGTCCCAACGGCGCACGCTGACACTGATAATTTATTCATCACAAGTTTAGTTTACCACCATCTTCGTGAAGTTCTTGTCGATCCCTGTTGATCTAATCTAGTTTAAATAATCGCCAAATCTAACACTGTACGTTCCTCAGTGCACAACAGTCCATTCTATGAACATTTAAATCAACTTGGGAACAGTGTCTTTTAATTTCTCAAATTAAAAAGCATTAAGCCTATTAAAACTAAACCTACACTGTAATTTCGTTTGCAAATCTTTCAAACGGAGTCGTCAAAAAGTACTTATGTAGTTTGATATTTTCTTCGTCAGAACTCGACACCCGCGTACGCTTTTTGTCACTTTTGGCGGCATTTTTGCGGATTTCAAATTAGTTAAACTGGTGTATCAACTTGAAGTATTAGGCGAGCCTTTATCATTCTCCCTTCGCTTATGTCGGAGAGTTATTCCATCGACTGTCTCGTCCCAGTCTCCCTTTAACACTACATTTACCTACCGAGCTTCTTATATTCTTAAAATTCTTAAATATCTTTCCAATGGAAAGAGTTGTATCAATTGACAGCGGCTCTCGACAGCAACAATTCCGATCTCTAGCACCATGTAATAATATATATTTAGCAGCATCTTGATATATAGGAGTTGAGAGGGCATCCAAACGGATGACTGATTCTATCAAAGCGACATTTCTTTGATCACCATTACGCAATTATGACTTCCTTCTATATAACAAAAGAAAATCTCTATCACAAAACACGGGAAGCACGTCAACAGCGAACTATACACAGCAGAGCTAAAAAGGGAAACAATTCACCCGCCGAAAGGGATCGTTTTTCTCGAGACTTCTCTGAAATTTGACGAAGCATTCAAAAGCGCACGTGAATCCGAACCTCAGGCGAAAGTCAGTTGCACCCGTAATTTCCATTAACAAACTTTTTTTGATTTCTTCATCAGGTTATGTGAGCAGAAAGCGGTCGTTTTGTGCTCACTTACGTTACTGGAGCGTCTTCTGATAACAAACAACGTACTTAATGGGGCGACAACGTGACCAATTGATATGACCCCTTCTACTGAAGTGTTTTTCCTGTTTACGCACTGTGTCTTTGTTCGTAATATCTGAACAAAGTGAAAACGTCTGGTTCTTGAAATGCCTGTGCACGTGGCCCTTGCAACCATAGCTTACTATTCCACACTTCCAAACATGAATTTTGTCCCACAGTACACCTTGGGCACACCATATGACCAACTCTTTAGCTGCATTTTTTTCATTCTTCTGTTCGAACATAGTTAACAGAGAAGAATAGTTAGGAAACCTGACAAATTTCTTTGTTGTAGGTTTTTGTTCAAGTTTTTGGGCTTGATCGATCTGGCACAAAACACAATTGTTGTTTGCTCCGTACTAAGAAACTAACCAATAGAATTGCTTTGGTTAGAGTTCAAGCATAGTGTACGAGTGCAAAACAAAAGATTGTGCACGGTTGTGTACCTTCCAACATAAACCTTGGTTCAGTGTTTACTCCTTTAATGTCTGCCGGTTTTCATAATCATTTCTCTCTATAAACTATGGTTCGAAGCATAACAGTGGTGTAATAAACTTGTAAACACGTTTAAATTATGAGGAGTCTAAATTAAAGGTCTTGTGCGTGGAACACAACTAATCTAAATAATAAGTTATAAACGCGGAGGTGATACTCATGCAAAACACAAAAGGCTAATTATCATTCCTCTTTCCCTAAACTGAAACGCTTAATTTAACTCGTCGATCTATCTCTCTTTCTCTCTCTATTACTTGCTTGACTCTTAGATGTTAATGTCACGCAACGGAAATTTCTCAATAAAGAATACAATGTGCTAAAACAGGCTACTCTTAACCCTAATCCTCAAAGTCAACAGTCTAAGGACACTTCTCACTTTTCCTCGTAATGAAAGTTTTCACCCGTAATTTCAATGACAAATTATTTCTGTTGCATTTAGTAAGGTCATGAGCGGAGAACAGAAAACGGTCGTTAATTTTGTTTATTTTCTTTCATGGGAAATTTACTTCATGGGGCGATAACGCGACCCATTCTATTGAAATTGAGGTTTTTGACGCTTTGCTTTTCGTTTTGCAAAAAATAGCTCCATGGGGCGACCACTGAAAGCGGTCGTCATTGCTTCTGTTCGAAATATATGAACCGACATAAAATCGTCTAGACTTTGAAATTCATGTGGTCCTTTGGTCTGAACCACATCATAGTGAGGGGTACATAAATATGAACATTGGCCCTTATCATAGCGTGGACATATTTTGACACCATTTGACCACTTAATGAGTGCATGCTTTCATTCTTCTGTTTGGAGAAGAACGGTCGCTGGATAAAATTGCAGACACGTTTTTGAGGCGGGCGTGAGGAGCCCAAAGGACCTTCGAGTGGGTGTGGGGGCGGGGAGGGGGTTACAGAAAGCTGTGAACATTTTTTGGATTAATTTCGGGGAATAAAGATTATCTCTACTATCAACGTGAACTTAGGAAGCAGTGAAATTGGCCAAGGGTACAAGTATCCTCCACTGGGAGACCCTCATGAATTGTGTTGAAACGAATATGATTTCAGAAGCGATCAAGTTCCTTATCTTAGAGAGGGACCCAGGGGGTTAAAATACTTCCTAAGGGCCAGAAAAATGTTGGGTCCCCATCCCATAAAGAGGCTTGGAGTAATAGCTATGCGGACAGAAAAAAAAACTGTTCATCGGCGAAAATGTAATCTTTAAGTCATTGAACTCTAATAGAACTTAAAACGAGTAAAGAAGGAGTAAAGAAGGGAAATGATTAAAGGTCACCGGACGTTAGAAAACAAACCTTAGTATAACAAAAATCTTCGAGCTTCGAATGCAATCTGGGGCAAACAAATCTGTGTAGCAAATTTACTTTGCAAATAAATCCCAACAGCGCACGCTGATACTGATAATTTATTCATCACAAGTGTAGTTTGGTATCACCTTCGTGAAGCTCTTGTCGATCCCTGTCGATCTTTTTTCAAGATCTATACCGGTTTTGGAAATCCCAGGAGAGTAAGGAAATAGCCAATCCTGTGACGAGAAGTTTAGTCAGGTGGACAGTCCAGGCGGCTTTACACGCAGTTTCATCAATCAGTCAATCAATCAATCAATCAATCAATCTTTATTTATAGAGGGTAACACCTAATAGGTATACAACTAATAAACTTGTGGCCATCTTAAATGCACAATAATTGAAAATCTCATTAAAAAACCTAAGTAAAATGTGTTCAAAATCTGCTGGTAAATATAAGTCGAAAATGTATGTAAGATTAGCTAAAAGGTAAATTCATATCACCTTATAAATATTAAAAATTAAAACAGCACAAGTTAAGAAACTGTAAAATGACGAATGTCTTTAATACTAGAACTAGAAGCATAAAAATCAATCAAGCCCTTTTTAAACCATGCACACTTGCGCTTTTATTTAAAAAAAATTGGAAATGGAGTTCCCCCACGAAAACATCTACCTAAAGCACGTGGAAACATTATCCGATCCGCAACAGGCCTAGGTACCATGCCTAAAAATAACTTGAAAGGGATTACCTTGGGAACAGGTCTTTCTAGATATTGGTGGACGATAGACTCCTACCCTTCATCTAGTTTCGTTAATCACGAAATCTAGCCCTGAATGTTCGTCAGTCCCTCACTGACAGTTCATCCTGTGAACATTTAAATCAACTTGTGAGCAGTGTCTTTTAATTTCCCAAATCAAAAAGCGCTAAACATGTCCAACAGC